CCATGAGTGAAGATCAACATCCTAGAGCTGATTATCCTCATCTTTATGAGTATGACTACTCTGATTTCTGTTTTCCTCTCTCTCTATGGAGTAGAACCTTCTCTCACTTGGGTATGAAGAACCCTAGTTCCATATGTTAGGAATCTTGATTGTAGTGACTTTGGATTGATGTACTGATTGATTTTAATCGATTGATGCATGATTCATTGAGTCAATTGAAGTCTGGTCATCTTTTCTTGATTTCTGCTGCAACCTGAGATAGATAGAATCTGATTAGGTTGTTAGAGCTTCATCAATCGGTAGTGGTAGATTGGTTATACGAGAGTTAATCGATTTACTGCTTTGTACTGGAACCCAATTCCAGTAGTGGAGTTCTATGCTTATTGCCTCAGCAGTCTATCCCGGTGAAGGTTAGTCGCCTGCGGTTAGCCTGCTTGAGTGGGGTTGGTCAGCTTAAGAGATTCCAAGCTACTGTCGGACCTTCCGCAGTTTAATCAACAGTTAATCAACCCAGGGTAATTACAACCTTGACCTAACTAAGGAGCTAGGGGGACTCATTCCAGAGTGAATCTTCCCTTGCTAAAGAACTTTGAACCATTTCCTGCTTTCTTACTGCTTTTACTTAAAATCACAATCACTAGACCCCGGGTTGACAAATAGAACTTGCCACTTTACTGCATTTCTGGACTGCGATTACACTTGGTCATAGTTTGGTGTTGTGTTTTAGTGTGTCATCTATTTTTATGGAAAGGAACCGAGAAAAGGGAGAATGACGGCAATGAGTACGCAAGTGATTGATGGTGGCGAAAAGGTCACGATCGAGGTGTTTAATGGAGGTTTTATGTTCCTGCGGTACTGCTTGCTGTTTTTTGGGATTGTGGAACTGAATGTCGGCGAAGAGAGAGAACAGAACGGATTGACACAAAAGCATACATGAAGCCCTTCAAAACCAAGTCCCGCCAACATCCAAAATATTACTGTTTGGGAAAGAATCAGAATATGAAGCTCAAAATAATCAGGTGACAGCAAGAACCATGTTTTAGGAAAGGATTAAAGGAAATCGAATTTATCCTTTACCTTATGGAATCGCAATGTTGTTGATTTGTTCTTGGGACTAGTACGTAGGGGATGGATTGTCATTAAGCCCATAAATATCATTTGAGGGTTCATTCAATTTTTTTCGATCGAACACACCCTTTCCTTCTTCAAACTCTTATTTCAGTTCTTCTATCTGCAGTACAGGGTTCCAATGAAGTTTGGTATAATTTGCTATAATCACTAAAAATTTACGCATGTGTATCGCCCCAGGCTCAATCAAGTACTAACAACAATCTGTTTCCAACTTGGATTTTCAGTTCTCCAGCTAAAGCCTTCACCTGCACCTCTGCGGCAGGAAACAATAATGCAGACCATTTAACTACTCAACGGTGGCTCCGTCCCTAATCTATCGTCCATATCCTCGACAATGCGTCATCAACCGAAGTTATGATCGGCCCTCCAACATTTATCCTATAAGAATCCTGAAATGCTAACTTGGACAAACCCTAGAAAGAATCACTACTTCCTCCAGCAACGGGAACTGGGGACGCTTCGTCGGAGATAAGCCCGTCGGGATTAGAGACGAGCTCCAAGGCATTAATTGCGGAATGCACAGGAGATATTCCTTGATGACGGGTGGGGTGTTTTTCTTGATGGAGAGTGGCGGAGCCGGAGCAGAGGACGATAGTGGGAGCCGGGCTACAGATTTAGTTAATGAGGGACCTCAATTGCAATTACAAATAAGTTAATGTTACTAAAATATATGTGATTATTGTATTTGTTCTTAATTAATTGATTATTGCTCAAATTATTTTCAATCATTAGATATATTGAAGGGTCAAGATTAAACAAGAAAGTGAGTGCATTGAATTCATCAAAAAAGTGAGTGTACTGAAGACGTCATCATATATATGGCAAAAGCTAGAATACGTTATACACCTGAGTTCACACCTATTATTTGTACATTCATAATTTCGATGAATCAGAATCACTTATTTTCATTTTAAGATTAAATTAATCTTATGATTTGTATTAGAAAATTGAAGAGAGGGTTCACCATTAGAGGTTAGGGTATAGTATCATGACCCAAATGCCCTCTATTTCTCTATCTCGTGTACTTCAATGTCAACTCTCTACTTCAAGAAGACCTACACATTGAGTGCCCTTTCAACCAACCAACTCAGCACTAATGGTAACAATTTGAGAACCTTACCTAGAACTCCCACATTGAGGACAATGTGTCCGGTAAGTGTATGCTTATTTTGTTCATGAATTATGTTATAGTTTGTTTAATCTCTTCTCTATAGACGAATGAATGCCTTTGGGATAATGTGATCGAAAGAATGGTGTGTGAATGGTTAAGTAGGCATGACAGAAGCTTACTTGGAACCTAGTTTTATGCTCCAGATTTTTTCAAATTTGAGGGTTCCAAGTAATAAGTCCCATAGTTTGATACATAACTACTAGCTTTAAATCTATGGACTTTTACTTCTCCTACTCGATCAATATCAATGAGCGAAGTGTGGATATGCATCAGAATGAAGGATCATTGTTTGATTCTTCGGTGTGTCATGTATTGGGTGTTTGAAAAGTGTTTGGACGATAAGTTTGTTTGCATCCGAATCTTAGAATTTGAGGTGTAGGTAAGTGGCAAGTTGTTTGGTTCTATGCTTTCTCCCAACTAAATTTTAAACAAAATAAAGTTAGTTTATAACTTGTTCTTCAAAGGTGTACGTGTGAGCCACCGATCATATGATTATTTGTATAAAATGCACTACAAAAAAGATGAGGTTTGGGGAGGATAATAGTCGTCCCCAGAAAAGGGAAAAATCGTCCCCATAATTTATGGGGATGACTTAGTCGTCTCCAATGTGTGGTTCCCTATACTCTTGTCCTCTATTCTTTTGGGGACGACAAAAAGTTAGGTTGTCCCGTTTATTAGGGACGACTGTCGTCCCCAATACTCTCAAATTGTCGGCTAATCTTTTTTCCATGAAAGACAATATGTCGTCACAATTACCATGACTTTGTCCACAAGAAGTCGTCCCCAAAACATAAATTATTAAGGACAAAATAATGTCCCCAATAATTCATTCCACGTTATTAATGTGGTTGTTTGGTAACAATGTATTGTCCCCTTTTTTTCATAGGGTGAATATTCCGTCCTCATACATATCAAATCGGAGTCAACTGATTGTCTCTAAAAATTATATTTAAGTACAACACGAAGTTTCTCATGCATAACTTTAGGGATGAAAAATTATTCATTTACTAGCGGCTTGGGGGACGACAAATTTCTTTCTCTAACACATTTTTTCATATTAGAATTATTTCGTATTTTGCTGTAACACATTCAACACATTAATTATTAGGTCCCTTAATAAGAATTGGAGATAGTTTCTTGTGATTAGATTAGGCAAACATCCAATTTAAGAAGAGCTACGGAATAACCTAAGCAAAAACTCAGGCTGAGCGAATTCGATACCAAATTGAAGTGGTGCAGAACTGGATTAATTATAATGAACATACAGTGTGTTGTTCCCATACCATGGAATAATTAATAGTTTGTACCTTTTATATACAAAAAATAGAACAAGAAATAGAATAAACCATCACCAGAAATGGGTTGTGGCTGCATTGTGTTGCCAGTCATTGCTATGCCGCCATCACCTTCTCAATTGTCGTGTCTCGCCTAAACATTGCCACAATACCTAGCTACCAGAGATACCGCTCCAACGTAACATGACCCAAGCAGTGTTTGCAACGTTCCCTCCGACCTGTTGTAAAAAAAATGTTATCACCGAGTTCATCGCCACTGCCGAGTGCCGACTGGAAAAGAAAACAAAAAGACAATGTCAAAGTAAGATAAATCTAAAACCAATAATGAATCGCAAGCCGAAAACCAGCAAAAATAAAAGTGATCTGAATATCGGCCATCATCGCTAGCCTCTACCGTAGATGAGCATGAGAAGAGGAAGTATTGCTAGACAAGAGAGGCACTACAAAAAATTAGGCCTATACCAAGGGTTTAATAGCAAGGGTTCAATAAACCCCTCCTAAATTTTTTAAAACTTACAATACCATGGGTTTATTGCAGGGGTTTGCAAACCCCTGCTACAGTACACGCATGACAAATTGTCACTTCGTTTCATTCTCCGATCTGAAATGTTATCCGGAAATGAAAATCTAACAACTTAAATTACATATTTTGCACAATGAAGGGTTGATTATGTAATATTTATTTACTTTGAGTACTTAGTTGGAGTTTTGGTACCGTTCTGATTTCTATCCCCAATCAGTTTCGAGCTTCTAAGCTCCTTGTCTACTGTAAAAAAAAAAAGCTCCTTGTCCCGTTTTCTTTTCTCTCTGTTCCGATCGTTCGAATTCTTCGACGATTTGCTTCTTTAAGTTCTGATCGATCACTTCGATGGATGTTTTCTTGATCCAAATCATCTTTTTCGCTTCCTTCATCTCCGTAGCTCGCTCGAACCACTAGACTTTGAGTCTCTCTCGCTTTGGGAAGATTGTCGATTTGAAACCCTAAATCCTCTTCGATGGTGACTACTTCAGATACATCTTCATTTTCGTCGTTGATTACTCCTTTAATCCGTATTCGTCACCAACAGCGATGTTTCCTCACCGCAGATGGTCACGCTGCTCCTTTGCCTCCGCTCATTGCTTTCTTCTTCGTAAACATGACCGCCGCCCATCGCCTGCATCCTTCATCGTGTTATCGGGCAACTGAGTGAATGAAGTCCATTATTGATATAGGGCGCATGTGAAGCTTAAATTCCCCCGAAGGATCCAAGCATACTATGCCTCACCAGTCTCGCGACTTCAAATTGAAGCGCATTTCATAGCTTAGGAGCTTGAAGAGAGCCGAGAGGTAAGACTCACTAAGAAGTTGGAGTCTTGAATGTCGTGCTCTCTTTAATTCATTGATTTCAAAGTTCCAATGAATTATGAATTCATCGCGCAGAGATGGTGTTCTTGTGCTGGTCGCGACCGTCCCCGCAGTAGCATTGTCTTCGGATTTAATTATATATGTATCAGTCTCGCTATCCCAACTACCGTTTCGTCTCGTCACTTTTTTAATCTTGAATTAGTGGGTTCCTTCTTCCTTTGCTTGTTAATCTGTATTGCCAGGAGCGGTAGCTTCAATTACGATTCCAAGTTCAGCGGAGCAACTGCTAAGCCGCTGGAATCCCTTAAAGAAGATGGCGAACTTGTCAAGAATGGTTTCTCACTGAACCATGCGAGGGTTTTGGTTCAGAAGCTTATGAAAAGGGCAGGCATGCTCTTCGGACATTGAGGTACGTCGTGTTTTTGCTGGTCAGTGTCGTGAATTTGGAAACACAAGAGTCTAATGGTGGGAGCTTCTTTTTTTGTTATTGTAGACATGTTTGGTTCAACTGGGAGTTCGTGGATCCCAAAACCCCAGTTCACAGTGGGGTGAAGTTATGTTTTTGTGTGAAGGAGTTTGTGCCATGGTTGATGGTGCCGCTTCAGGCGGTGTATGTGAATGATGCAAAGGATCTTAAGAAGGCCACTCCCTTATTTTTTAATCTGTTACTTGTTCGATTTATGATAGCAAACCCAAATTAGAACTTCGAACTATTTGCTGCTCGTAATGTGATCAATCCTTTTGCCACTTTGATGTTCTGGAACGGTTTTTTATCTGAGATCTTTGCCAATGACTTTGCTTTGTATCTGCAGACAACATATGGTTGACATCGGAGATCAAGACTACGATGATGATGACTAGTGAGAACTGAACCTCTCATTCAGAATTCGTCCTGATTTTCTATGAATAGTCCTTCCCCTATTATGAATTAAGGGTGCCTATTGCAGTGTCAGCACCTGTAAGTATTGTAGCTTTGTGATTGTTGGAACAGGAAGTGACCAACTAATATGTTGAGTCGAACTTCCAATTATTGTCCTCAAAATATGTTGTTGTTCCATCTCGTATGTAGTTGTATGTACCAGCACTTGGAGGATTACATAGACTACCCATTGTTGTGAATTAACTTGAATTATTGTAGTGACTGTAAGTCTTTAACAGAACTTGTATGTACGCAGGAACTAAGTAGTGTAATCAATGTATAATCTAATTCTGTGGTTTCGTATTTGTTCTACATATTTGTGTCGATAATTAGCCATCATACTTATGCTATTAATATAATGTTCTGTTAGATGGTTAAGTTGGTAGCTTTCATTAGTTTATATTATGATATATTTAGTTTTCTTAACGTCATATATTCATAGTTTTTTTCTTGTTTCTTCGTCCTTCTGTGTTTGTGGCTTGAATGCTAGCAGTGGGTGTATATCCGGAGAAGAGCTATGGCATTTATTTATAGCATTTGACAGTAAATCAGGATTACTAACTGTCTTAATCCATTCTGTAGCATTTGGAGTCTTGATCTGCTTGTCAATTACGACGGAGTTTGAATCGTCTCTCAAACTGAGCCTGATGTTGTACGCTTCTCTCTCTCTTATGATGATGATCTCTTTGTTTATTTATATTTCTTCTTGTGGAAATGGAATCCGAATCAGAGCTTGGAAGTGTCATTTCCCTGTACTATTTTGTTTGATTGTTAGCTGATTTACTGGATTTCACTTTGCGCTCTTTTCTTCAGCCGCCGCCAATTCAGCCTGCAGACAACCAGATGAGTCTAGCAGATATAGACACCATCAAGGTCAACGGAAAGGGAAATGGCAGTATTTTCTTCGGATCTCCCTGTTTATTGTTCGCATAGCTGCCTATCTATTTTCAGCTTTCTTCTAGCAGTGGACTTGAAAAAAGCTTGAGTCTGGTTGGTGTAAGTTAATAGTGGTTTTGAATTAATTATGAACTCAAATAACTTGCAAATTCGAAACCAGCCAGTTCCCTCTTTCTAATTGCTACTTCAGCCTTTTACTCTAGCAAGCTACTAGAAGCTTGGCACTTGTTGGTAGTGGCTATTGTGCTTTTGGATGAATTAAAAACTATGTATGCATTTTTTTGGTAGGAATATATATATCCATTGATACTATGTTGTTAATGGCTTTCAGTTCCAAAGTAGATCGACTGTAGCTGCAGATGGTTATCCTTCCAGCTCGGTTTTGTTTGCTGGGAATGACAAGGAGAGGTACAAATGCTATGCTTTTACAATGTAATTCCTTTTTTATGGATGAACTCTTTAAATTTCAGTACTCTCAATAATTAGATCATAACTCGTTACTATTTCAGGGAATAGAGAACTTCAAGTGGGAATGAAGCTATTCGGTTCAGTGTGCTACCAAGAAGTGGTGCTCTAAAAAGAAGGAAGATATCTCAAGGGGTATTATCCTTGGTCTTTGAAGGATGTTGCATTATGAGTACATCAGTAGGTTCTTTTGAGTTTTGAGTACTTAGAATATTGTGAGTAGTAGACCATGTTTCATTGTATTACATTTCAATATTTTGTTTTTAGCATTTCACTATATATTATAAACAATATTATTATCTTGGATCATGGAATGAATTATGAAATATTTGATGTTTATAGTGATTTGGCTACCAAGAATGGTATTGTAGAAAAATTAGCATAGAGAGGCTTGGATTTGCATTTGTATTAGGGACCAGCATATATATTTGGATTTATCTATAGTGACCAGAATATTTGCAACAGTTATAGTGACCAAGTGATTCTCTTTAGCAACGATTTTGAGTTGGTTGCAAATAGTTTTAGCGACGAGTTAAGCAAGGGTTATATCCTTTGCTAGTCAGATAGTCACAGCAGCAAATTTAGTAAGGGTTTTAACCCCTGATACAAACCTCTTATTATTGGATTTTATAGTTAAGTGTAGCAAGGGTTTTAACCCTTGAAACATGTAGCAGGGGTTTGAAACCCCCTGCTCCAACCCTTGGAGGGGACTTCCACCGTGGGTTGCTAAAAACCCTTGCTACATGTAGCAGGGGAGCATTGGTGAGAGTTCATGCAGGGGTTGATAAAACCCTTGCTAGAACTCGTAGCAGGGGTTAAAACCCTTGCTATAGGTAGAAAAAACCCTTGTCATAGATCCTTTTTTTTTTGTAGTGAGGGAAGTGGCGGCGCTAATCGAAAAAGAGAGAGAATCAAAAGAAGGGAAAGAAAAGATTAGGCCGAGAGAAGGTGAAGAGTGAATTATTGGGCTAGGGTTTTGTTGGTAGTTGGTACTTAAAGTTGAATGGACGTTTGGGATTAAGAGGTTGTTTGGAAGTTGTCAATGTTAAATCGTTGCATTGTAATGAATCACCATAAGATAAATGCATGTATTTATACAATAGATGCATTTTAACAATACATTGTTTGGTTGTTGAGATTTTACTTTATGCATTGATTTACATAAAGTTACTTTTATGGGGAAATGTCACATTTACCCTCAACTTTTAGAATAAGACAAAACTATTGGGGATATAAATGGAAAGAAAAAGTTGACACAAATCTAAAACTAACAATCACAACAATCTCAACTTTTAATTGAGATTGTATAATGCATCATTTTTTGTGATTACTGGTGGGACCTACCTAAAACAATGCATGCATTGTTTAACACTTTGACACTTCCAAACATTGTATTGTGCACAATACATGTATTCAACAAATACAACTCTAACAATAACAACTTCCAAACAACCCCTTAAGTTCTATATAAATGAGTGCCTGAGATTAAAAGGAGAGTTCTGAATTATCTCTGTTGTTACTTTGTTTTTTTAAGTATTAATTAATCCTCTTCGCTTGTTCTTCCATATGTTGGTTGAATCCCAAGTATGGAAATATTTTGGTAGTTCTATACTCCGTTTTGTTTAATTTGACTACTATTTTAATTGAGGGTATGCCTAATTAAAATAAGATCTGGTTACCTCAGTCATACAAACCCTTATATGATAGCCATATAATCGTATTATGGTGGTACTAGCACTGGCCCCGCCTGTTGGCCGGGAGAGTTTAGACCGGAAATGTCGATTATAATAATAGATATGATAGATGTGCAGAAATATAAGTGATGTCTGTTTTTTTTTATGTAGATATGCAAATGGTTGAATTATACATAATTTGCGGACAATATAATAAAAAGATAAAAAACATTATGTAATGTAACTTCAATTTTTCAATGGAAATAAAGAAATGAATATAGGCAATTATTTTTCACTACTTAAGTAGACCATATAGTTGAATATTAGATTTGCTTCTCATAATACATACATAATCAACCTTAAGGATGAAATAAAATGATTGGTCTCTGACAGTACTGTTCAATATCTCTCTATAGTGTTTATCCCAGTAGACACTATCCTTCTTATCATCGCGCGGGCAATGGCTCTAAAGTTACATGATTGAAATATATCAGTCATGTCGCAAAGTTGTCATTGATAGTTAGGAATTAACAATGTATTATGTATGGGTGGATTCCCAAATCACTCTCGTATCACATATATGACCAGCAACAATGTTGTAATTTCCCTACAACAAATATTTATTAGTCAAAATGAAATATAATCAAATAATGATGAAGTATAAGTTTAAGATTATATAGAAGATAGGTTTCATTTTTTTAGTCTACAATACGCAATGACATACAATGATGTTTTGTAGTTGTAAATATGAGCATGTATATATTCTTTGCATAAGAACGATTTACTTACAGGTTGAGAAAAGGGTGAAACAAAGGAGCATTCAAATTTAGATTTTTTAATTTGGATGCTGGGGATGCGGCAAAGTAATACTTTCCTAACAATTAGTGATTGTAATATGATCTTGGAAGCAAGGGCGGAGCCATGATTTGACGTTGGGGGGCCGAAATTTTTTTATTCTACTACTTCGTAAAGGCGATAAAATTAACTTTTTTTTTGCTATTATTATAATTGACATTTTTAGATGATTATAATTAATCAAAATAATTGCAACTTATTTCGTGAAGACAAACTCACAAAAGTGAATATATCATACCCATAAGTTTTATTTATGAACCATTATCTTATATGATTCTAAAATTAGTATTGATTTACCAATTGCAACTGAAAGTGCAGAAAAAGCATTTTCATCTTTGAGTCAAGGACGAAGATATAATTTAATGTTCCGAAGTTTTTTATTTGTTACTGCGAAATGACAACAAAATTAAGCAAAAAAGAACAAAAATAATATTTTTTAACATTATCATAACATCAATTTAATCCATATAAAATTTTATTTCGAAATATAAAAGTTAAGAAACCATATTGAAATTAAAGAATTGAGAAACCATAAAATGAAAACGTAATGAAGATGAAAATGTAATGAACAATTATTGACAGATTAAAAAGTAAAGTAAATATGCATCTTATAGGTTTCAAACACATAACCTAATCAATGTAATAACAAGTACTCAGCCACTGGACTATGCCCCCCCCCCCCCCCAAGCCTATGTGTAGCTCCGCCCAGCTTGGAAGGAGGAAGTGAAAATCTAATTGAGCCAAAGTGTACGAATCCTTAAAAATTACATACTTCTTGTTTATTACCACGCTCTATTGAGGTTGCTCGGTTATTACAACTTCAAATTCATAAATCAAGGAGTCTTTCAATACCAATCTTATCAAACGACCCCTAATAAATAAGAGGTGAATGGTTGAGTTGGACTAAAAACCTAAAACATGTGAGTACTAATCAAATGAGAATAAAAGTCAAAGAACTCACTCTAATAGTTTGACATAGACATTTTTCGACTTTTCATCGACTGACCCTGTAGATACTGAAAAGATTGGGTGTGTATGATGAACCTCACCATCACATCTATTATAAGAATAACAGAACATAATGTTTAGAGCAAGGATTGAAATATCGTATCGGATGTTGTACCGAAAAATGTCAACGATATAATATTTTATGCTAAACCCATGATTTAATCGTAGTTCAAACACGGGGATTTCATTTCCCAAATGTAAATACATCCCAAAATTTTAAAATACAACCATACTTTGCTTCCAAAGCATCATTGTAAAATTAGATTGCAGAGGAATTAAAATGTAAGACATTTTTTTTGTAATTAATAAATGAATAAATGACAAAATGAAGGATGCATTGGATATGTACATTATGCTTATGTATTAATTCCCAAAATTCAATTTATTGACCCACGAAGACCTACTGTAGATGAAGAATCATAATCATGGAAAAACAAATAAAATAACCAAGCGTTCATATCTAAAGGAATAAAATTGAGAACCAAAATCCACATTAACATTTAATTCACAATTCACTAAGCAAATGACATGTTTTAAAGGCAATTACGTTAGTCTAGACCTGAGAGTATTGGCCCATTTGGGGCCCAATAAAATTGAGTCCCTCATAGCTGTCGCCAATGGAAGTAGGACGGAATTAGGGATGTCAATTCAACCCGTAACCATGGGTACCCTACCCGACCGTAACCGGTCAACGAGGGTAATTACCCGCTTTGACGGGTTAAGGGGCGGGTACGGGTAATACCCGGTTTCAAAATAAAGGGTAGGGTACAGGTATGGTAATCGATAATACCCGCTCCGTTATACCCGCCCCGCTAACCAAAGGGTCAATTTCCCTTGAGAAATTTAGATTAGCTTGAGAAATTGAGTTTATCTACCATTATTGATGATGAAGATGTAGACGATTATTATGTTTGTGTGGATTGTAGAAGCAAGAACAATTATTATGTGTTTGCTATTTTTATTTGTGTAGATTGTTGACGCAAGAATTTTTAATGGACAACAGTATGTATGTGCATATATGTGTATAAGTTCATAGTTTAGGATTCGTACCCATGGTTACCCGAATACCCGTGGTTACCCGGTGGGTAGGGTATGGTTATATAATTTTCATACCCGGTGATTATTTGGTCGGGTATTTTAGAAAGCTCTACCCGGCGGGTTAGGAGTTGGTATAGGGTAAACCCGCACCCGACCCTACCCATTGCCATCCCTAGACGGAATAAATGAGATTGAAACGCAGCGCTGCATTTAAATGGGAGTGAAAAGACGGAAATAACCTTCCGTGAAGCTCTCAGAATGCTGCAATTTTGAAATGCTGCAATTTGGAGTGGTGAATCTCCATCATAAATTTTATAGATAGATGATTTTATACCATACCGATATGATTGGAGTTTTGCAGAGTTTTGTATCCTATCTTTTTCTTAAAATATTTTTTTTAGTTTAATTTATACATACGTTAAACCACAAAGATGTACTGTGAAATGAAATCCCAACTATATTGCAGGGACAATATATTTACCCCTTTTATAGGAAACATGTCGTCCCTATAGGTGTTAACTTGAAGACAACAAATTGTTCCCAAAAATTTGATTTAAGGACAACAAGTGGTCCCTTATACTATATCTTTTGGGACATCAAGTTGCACGTATATGACTTTTAGAGACGACCAATTGTCCTTATTTTTGGGGTGTGAGAGACAACAAATTGTCAACTATGTAACATTTAGTTGTGTTTAGTTATGACCAATGATCCATTAATTTGTGTTTACGGTGCTAG